TTCTCACGTGTTTGTACAGGCTAGCATCTATCCATTGGCGTATTGTACCCAATATCTTGCTTTTTTTATATTTCTCCAAACTGCCTTTCTTTTCATCTCTTCTGGCTTGTGCACTGTCACCTTCAATTGGATCGTACAGATCTTTGCAATTGAGGTAGTCCTCCATTCTGGATTTCCACATTGAGTAATTCGAAATCCATCAATTTGATCATTGCCCCCGTCGTTAGCCATGTCGAATTCTTGTATCTGAAACAAAATTTTACTATTCACGTGAATAGTAACTTTGTATAAACTGACAAAATTTACCAACCTAAAAGGCTCTGATATCAGTTGTTGGATATAACTGATCCGAATAGGGCCCGAGGAAAAATGCTCCAATAATTAACGTATGGTATCATTGACGATGCGCAATCTACCAGATAATAAAAACCACGGTAAAAATTAAATAATTATTGTAAATGCTAGATGAAAAATAAGGACACTGAGATTTACGTGGTTCACCCTTCAACTGTTATGGGCTACGTCCACGGGACAAAAACTCCGAATAATGCTTCTACTAAAAATAGTAGGTACAAAAGAGATTATAAAAATAGTGGTACTCTAAATGTTTTCCAAAAACACCAAAAAATTATGTTCCTCACTATTTTCTCTCTTTCCCAATTTTAGGAATCCTTTTCCTAAAATTCTATACACTCTATGTATTTCTATTCTATGTATTTCTATTCTTTTGTTTTTGTACGATTTGTTGAGGGAAAACCTTCTCCTACTTATAAGAGAAGGGGATGCGTTAATCAACGCATCCACCAACTGCGCGCAATTAACGCATCCAACGCGCAGCCTTCTTTGAACAACAAAAAAACGTGACTCTTTTTTTTTTCTTTCTTGAAACTTGTGTGGGTCTCACATGTCGGAGGGATCCCACAACAGAGGTTCCTAGCAGATGGGTTCCATCTTCTCCAGGTTTTTTGAAGTGCAATGTGGATGCTTCAATCTTTGAGGATCGAAATCAAATGGGGTTTGGAGCTGTTTTTAGAGATTACAATGGTTCTTTCCTTGTTGGTCTTACATGTCTGTTTATGGAACAAGCTTCTCCTCGAGTTGCTGAAACCTTAGGGTTGAGGGAGGTTCTATCTTGGATCAAAGATCAACACTTTGGTAATATGATAATTGAAACTGATGCCAAGGAAATTGTTCAGGCTTCACTTTCATCAACCTCTGACGTCTCTGAGTTTGGTGCAATTATTAATGATTGGAAGAGTTTATTTAATGCAAACAGCTCTGTTTCTGTAGCTTGAATTAAGAGACAAGCAAACAATTCAGCTCATGCTCTAGCAAGAGTTGCTTGATACCATGCTAGTCTCAAGGTTTCGAGTAATCTTCCAAACAGTGTTGCAACTCGTTGGAGTTATCTTCATGCATTATTTTATTTCCTCTCTTTTCCAAATAAAACTTTAAATCATAAAATATAACTTTTTTTATTTCAATTTAAAATAAGTTATTATGACACTGAAATGCATTCTCTTCGTAGTTTAATTCAAAGGATTTTTTTTTTATTCTTTTTAGTTTGATCGCATATAAATTTTTTCATTAAAGTGTTATATATATTACTATTTTATTATGCGTTAAGTTATATGTATATTTAGTAAGTCATGATATGAAAACAATGCAATAAGAATAAATTTAATTACACACAGTTATAGCTCAAGAACCATTTCATGCAATATTTACTCATAGTCGGTCTTTCTATATTTTACAGAAAATGTGAAGAGTGAGAAATCTTCTGTTCGAATACTCTACATTAATTGAAATAAAATATGCATTATTTTTCTGCTTAGACAACAAGATTAGAATATCTCTAAATTGGAGAAAAATATATGAATAAACCGAGAAAATTACCTTGTTTAATGTCACATATATTCGATTTTTTTTAAAATTTACCTTGTTTAATGTCACATATATTCGATTTTTTTTTTGCTCTCTCTTTCCAAAACAAAAATCTTTAAATTTTCTAATAGAACAAAGCTTTGTTTTTTTATCTTTAATTTAAACTAAATTAGTTAATGAACCCTAAAATGCAATTCTTTTTTTAGTTCAATTTAAAGGAATTTTGATTCTTTTTAAATTTGATCTCATTTTAATTTTTTTTTATTATGATATTGATAATATTAGATTTTATTTTGAAATAAGATTAATAAACAAAGCTTTGTTTTTTATTTTAATTTAAACTAAATTATTATGACCCTAAAATGCATTCTTTTTTTAGTTCAATTTAAAGGAATTTTATTCTTTTTAATTTGATCTCATTTTAATTTTTTTTATTATGATATTAGATATATTAGATTTTATTTTGAAATAAGTTATATTTAGTAATTCGTAATATGAAATAAAACAATAAAAATACAATTAATTACACAAATAGTTACAGACTACAATTCAAGAAAGATAATAAATTTTAAAATTTGTTCAAATTTTCATGTAATATTTGCTCAAATTGGCTAAAATTTTCATATATTTGCACTTTTTACACATAAGAAACTAAACTTAGGATGGAAAATGAAATAAACTCAATTACAAGATAGAGAATTTCCACGGCAAATGAAATTCCAAATTTCTTCAAAATGCAATCAAAATTAATAAAAAAAAAAAGAAGATCTTCAAGGCCATGACAGGTCGATATTAAACTTAGGCTCCGGCACATCTTCATCAACAATGTCCGCATCAAATCGCTTCGTATAATTCATCAATGGCTTTTGAGCATTGGAAGAGACAGAACCAGCACCAGCAGCAGCAAAAGAAGAGGCAAAAGAAGAAGAAGGTAAAGCCGCTGCAGGTTTCGCAAGGTTCTTGGGTCGAAGAAGAACAGACAACAAAAGCATGAGAGAAGCCATGAAATTAATCTAGTAAAGAGAAGGAAGAAAAATGTTTGGGTTTTGGTTGTTTGTTTAATGTTAGGTTATGGTTGTTTTATAGTGTTAGAAAAAGTTGGTTGAAGAAAGTAATAAAGAAGGAAAACAACGGGCGGCAAATTCAAGTGCAACGGTAGAGAAGCAGCAGCAGATATTTACTTTTCAATAAATTAAAAAGAAACCAATGGGTCTCCATCTGGTAGCTGCAGCTGTTTTTGTTTGCTGGTCTTAAATTAAGCTATGGCCTGCCAAACGACACAGTTTTTGGGTTATGGACTTCATATTGTCAAAACAAGCCCATAGTTTATTTATATTGGACTCAAGTCTCTCTCTCTCTCTCTCTCTTAACCAATTCGGTTATGGATTTCATATTTACAGTTCGACCAATTCGGTTAATTCGATTAATTCAGTTAATTCGGTTAAATTGATTCGGTGAATAAATATTCGATTAAAAGTTCAATTAAAGAAAATTAAAATTTCGGTGATCAGTTAAAAATTAATTTAACCGAATTAAACAAATCAATTGACTCTCAAAACTATGTCGTTTTGATTAAGTAAATAATAAAATATTTTCGATTTTTATTTTAATTAAATAGTGATTAATAACTTTGGTTAATTTTATTTCGGTTAAAGTCGGTTAATCATAAATTTTCTACTAAATTTAGTCGGTTAATTAAGTTTTCAATTTCTTTACTTTCCATTTAGTTAATGATCAAAATTAATTCGATTAAGTGAAAAAAAATTTCAATTAATTTATTTCGGTTAAAATTTTATTTAAATCGACGGAATACTCGCCTTTGACCACTGCAGCCGCCAACAGATAACTTGTGACATATACAAGGCTTTAGAAGAAAATTTACAATTGAATTAAGGGTAAAATGGATAATTCAAGTTGATTAAACGATTAATTGTAAGGCATGACGATCTGGATGATGGATAACAAAGCCGACTCTATTTTTGTTTAATTTAAAGTGTGACGTAACAGCAACTACTTCATTAGTTTTTTCAGTTGAACCACCCCACTATAATTATCTGCAGAGGTAAAACTCTTTACGATTGATTTTTTTTTTCTTTTTTTTTTTTTTGTTTAAATTAGCCATATTAAAGTTGATGCAAGTGCATTTTATCATATTAAAGTTAGCTATTAATTCATAATTAATGTAAAAAATATTATCATTTCATGGTCGGCTTTCTCAAATTTTAAACATCAATATAAACACTAAGCTACCAAATATAAATAATAAAAGTAGCATTTTGACTTAATCAAAACACTAAAAAATATATAAAGAGTTATCGTCCAACAGGTTTATAAACAGAAATCATATTGAGTTATCGCATTCGGTATAAATTTTAAATTGCAATTATTAGCTTATTATTTTCAACAAATTTTTTAATTTAATTGGGATATTTAAATAAGTGCTGAAAATTTAAAGGGGTTGAAGGATATTTATTAGTCTTTTTTACGTGGGGAGAGTAAGATTTCAAGTTTGACTCTTCTCAACCACGAGTTTTTACTAATTTGACTCACCAAATTAATAGTTCATAATATTAAGTTTCACAACAAATAAATAAATAACCGAAAAAGAAAAATCATGCAAAAAATCATTACGCTGTACAATCGAAGGAAATTTGTCAAACACCAAAAGGGTGGAGGAACATCTCTTAATTAATTCTAGTTAAAAAGCTCATTAAATTTACAATTGTTAATTCTTAACAATTAAAAAGAAATTTAATAAACTAAAACAGCAAATTTTTTTTTCCTAAATATGAAAAAAAAATGCAATGTTTATTTAATTGAATTTGGTGATTCATTATTCAAACATGATTTATATAAATCTTAATATTACAATATACTATATATTAACTACTATGTACCTCATGGAACCACTTTCCAATGTGCCTGGAGTAATTAGTTAAAAAATAGATTATTCCTTGAAATATTAAACAATGTGGTCATCAATGACATTCCTAATACTAAACTTTGATTTCTAGCAAGTTGGAACTATATGATTCCTATGTTCCAAACTTGCATGTTAAGAAACTCTCACTCACTATATATATGTCTCTCGTATTAAAGAGAAGCTCAACCAAAATTCACACAACTCAAAAATGGCAGATGAAGAAGTGAAGCTAATTGGAACTTGGGCTAGTCCTTACACTCGCAGAGTAGAACTAGCTCTCAAAATAAAAGGAGTCAAATATGAGTATATAGAGGAAGATATCTTCAACAAGAGTCCTTTGCTTCTTAAGTATAACCCAGTTCATCAAAAGGTTCCCGTGCTTATACATAAAGGAAAACCAATCGCAGAATCACTTGTCATTCTTGAGTATATTGATGAGACCTGGAAACACCATCATCATATCCTACCTAAAGAGCCTTATCATAGAGCCACTGCTCGTTTCTGGGCTAAGTTCGTAGAGGAAAAGGTAAGCTTCATTACTATTAAAGGGCTGTAAATGAGCCATGCTGAGAGAACTTTGGTGAGCTCGAGCTCGGCTCCTTTAAAAGTAGTTAAACTTGAGCTCGAAATCTATTAAATTAAAACAGAGTCAATTTAATGTAGGTTTTAATTGATTTTGGATTATTGAGCTAGCTAGAGAGCTCGAATCGGCTCGATATAGCTGGCTCATGAGCAAGCTCGCGAGCTAAATATGACTTGAGCTCGAGCTTGAGCAAGCTTTTATAGAGCCGAGCCTCGAACAGCTCACGAGCGGCTTGTCTCATTTACAACACTATACATTAATAGTTTTAGTAGTCTGGGTTGAATTAATTTTGTTCTCACTAGAATTGACAATTAATGTATACATGTATTTGCAGATCCAAGAAACAGCAAGAAAGTTTGTCTCTGCCTTGGAGGAGGAGAAACAAAAGATAATTGAAGAAGTTCATGGACACCTCAAATTGCTAGAGAATGAGTTGAAAGAAAAAGAAAAAGAATTCTTTGGAGGAATTGAAATTGGGTATCTGGACATTGTTGCATTTTTTACATGTCATTGGCTTCAAGTGCACCAAGAAGTTCTGGAGATAGAATTCATCACTGAAAAGAAGCATCCAATTTTCTGCAAATGGTTGGAAAAGCTCCATAAAATTGATGTCGTTCATGGATGCCTGCCTCCAAGGGACAAACATATTACTTTTATCAAAGCTCGCATTGAAGCTGTCAAGTTCTCTTCTAAATGATCATAAGAGAGAGAGAGTGCCGTACACACACACATATATGCATTTATATGTCTGCTATGATGCATAGAAATTTTTAGCCATGGCCATTTCATAAACGTTTCAGCGTGTCAATTTCCACATATAAAATACTGGTTTTCCGTTAAAATTGTTTTTCCCTCATCGTTTTTCATATTTCCTCGTTTCCGTTTCTGTGCAATGTAGTATCTCTGTAATACACGGAGTAATAAGGATTAAGTGTGTTATGGATATGTAATATATAAATTAGAGTGATTACGTTTGTTAAAGTGGAGTCTTACTCCCTCATGTATAACCATATATATGAATAAAAGCTGGGTTGTTTGAATGGAAGTGCTACTGTGTTGTTGCCAATGCAAGATTTGGATTCTTGGGTCTAAAGATTTTAGTACATTTATTTGTTTAGTACATTAATTTCAATGGATCAACATGAAATGTTCCTTTACATGTTACAATTAGACAATAAGAAAAAACATGAAGAGAACCAGAAAGTTTCAACTTTCAGATTGTTTATTTGGCAAAAAGCCTTTCACAATCTCCATGGTACTACTCCTTGGGCTCCTATTTGCACGGGTGAGCAAACTTTGGAAAAAACTGAATTATTTTTGGTTATACAGTTTTCAGTTTCCAATATTCCATCATTTTGATTTTCGGCCTTTGAATTAGATACTATAAAACACTTATTTTCTAGTAAAATTGAATTGTTGACCAAACTGATGTTTGCTGAACCGAATCAATATGTTTGGTTCAATTTTTGAACTTATTTTAGTTTTGATTCGGTTTCAAAGAAAAGTGTCACAATCCAAAATCATAGGCCGGACCAACACTAGGGTTCAGGTAAACTTAAGGCTCCCGAAACCCATAGTAAGCCTAAACCACACAATTCAATTACATCAAACGGATCCTAAGAACAACAAACCCATATCATTTTATATATAAGTCAAGTAATCACATATCTCTGCCCCAATTTCAACATCTCAAATTAATTCATGACTCGGGTCTATTTACAACACACATCATTCATAATATGGGCTAATTGGTTAATACATGCACCTAGATAAATAATTAAAATATCCATAAGTTCATGGGTTAGTATGCCCATTTACGCTATTAAAGACATTTAAGTCTTACAACTGCGGAGTTCAATAATAATTAGAAATAATAGAGTCTTTATATATAAAGATACATAATTTTAAGTAACTACTGACATTAGAAATTTACTTCAGTAGCTCTGCGGGGAAGGATTTAGAGCTTTAGCTGAATCAGCGGAGATTCTACTTCCTGAAAAGTTAAATTGAAGAGGAGTGAATTTCGCAACTTAGTGAATAATAAGAAATAATGCATAACACTGGAATTCATCCGAAATACTTCCTAAAATACTAAAATGAACACACAACTAATCAAGCATATGGCATAACATCAGTACCCACAAGTAATTACACTTTCAAATAATCAAACAAGTGGAAATTGGTCAGTGGCATCATCGAAACCTCTGACGAGCCGTCCTCACACATGGCCCGCCTTCTCAAACGTGTGCACTAAGGAACCGATCTCCCATACATGGCCGACCGGTCTAATCCTCACTTAACCAACCCTCTCATTTTTTTTATACTCTCTTTTCCATACCAATAGGTAGCTACCTTGTGGTTTTCCATATCATATATCATCAGATGCACATGGGAGCGCGATCTCCTCATTCATGGCCGACGGTATCGTAAACCACTATCGCAAACCCATGGTGACTCACTTCATCCCAATTCCACACAAACAAGGCACTACCATGTCACAATTCAAATAATCAAACAATTCATTTAGTATAATACATCAAATCAATAATTAACATGCAAACATAAAAAGATATAAATATGATGTAAATAAATATACAAATATAATCATGTATTGATAATGACATAGTAATATCAAAAAATAAATGTTAAGTTATCATTCATATATTTCTTTATAAAGTAAATAATAAATGCATGAAAATGATAATATGCACTTATTATTACTCATAGTGATAGAGGGGAGAACAAGCTTTATTGTGGATTTTGGCTAACAGGACCGGTAGACAAACTCTGACGATCTAGATAAAATACCTATACAAAGGAAAAGATCGGATTAGACAAATGACTTACTTAAGTAAGAATTTAAAGAATTAATTTGAGATGTTGAAATTGGGGCAGTGATATGTGATTCCTTGACTTATATATAAAATAATATGGACTTGCTGTTCTTAGGATCCATTTGATGTAATTGAATTGTCTGGTTTAGGCTTACTACGAATCTCGGGGGCCTTAAGCTTACCTGGGCCCTAGTGCATGTCCGGCCCACGGTTTCAGGTCGTGACAAAGTTAGTATCAGAGCTTAGTTTAGAATCTTAGAACATAATTGCGGAGTATAGAGAATTCCATCTCATCCTTCTTAGTCTCCTTTGTTTCTACTTTAGCGTCTCCCTTGTTGTCATGATTAGAATAAATCTCCATGTCATTGATTGTATATGCTATTTCTTGAATTTGGTATATAAGAGGATGAGTTTGAATATTTGTTATTAGAAATGATCTTGAATTAACCATTGGGTATGAAAGTTATTTTAGGATAAGTATGGACTAGGCATTTCTTTATGTTGGGATCAGCCGTAACCAACATAAGGAAATAAACTTGGTGATTTTCCTCCCTAAAGACGGTGGACACACTAAACCGTATGAAATGGGAAAATCCATACCTATTGTGTAAATCAATAGATTATAGTGGACAACAGGATTAACCCATCACACTAACTATAGGTGCTAAGGTAGGTATCACCTCCTAGTTCTAGGAATGGAGTAACACCTGGATGGTAATGGAGTGGCCTAATCACCCAACGCACTACCTTTCATGTGGGATCTATTCCTATCAGTGAGTATGATTTTGTCAAGGTATGGATAGGATTTTCATTAGTATGACAGATTAATGAATAGTAATTATAATAGATTACTTAGCTATTTACATGTGAAGCTAAAATAGTTGTGTAATTGAATTGTATAATTTAGGCTTATTACGATCCTCGAGGGCCTTAAACTTACCTGAGCTCTAGTGTCAATCCCGCCACAGTTTCAGGTCGTGACAAAAAGCTATTTTTGTTTTTTGGTTTTTACGGTCCAGGTAAGAATCCAACCATCCGTTTGCACTCCTCTACCTATTTGCTTATTATTATTATTATTATTATTATTATTATTATTATCCTAACTTTATTTATATTGATTCAAAGATAAATTTTATTTATATTTTCTTAACAAATTATGATAGATTTTGAAATAAGTATAATTAATTAAATGAAATTAAAGATTACAATTTTGGTAATTTTAAAAATTATAAATTTTTATACAAGTCAAATAAACTAAGTATAAATTTATATTAAATTAATTTATTAAAATTTTATTTATATCAAATAAATTCTTATAAATTAAAATTTCAATAAAAATTTATTTAATAGTATTAAATTAATTTCATGCTGGATAAAGGTACATGTACAAAAGAAAAGTACTTCTATTTGTCTGGTGCCCATATATAAATCCTAGTCGTTGAATATAAAATTCCAATAAAACGAAACCTAAATCCCAACTCCAAATTCAAAAGCTCACTGGCAATGATGAGCCACAAAGAAAACGCTTCCATAGGACTTAATCGCCGAGATTTTCCTGTTGATGCCGGCGAAGCCTCTTTTGCGTTTCAGATGTGTTTTGAAAACAATGTGCAGCCTGATCGATAGCCCAAATTTTATCAAGCAGCGTTTCGAGAGATCCATGAAAACCGAAACAAACCTCAGACTAATTATCCAGGAAGAGAGATATAACGACATCCGAGGCTGGGAACAACCCGAGGATATTCATGCCATCAATTTTAATGAGGAACCCCAAAAACCCAGAAACCTAAATCACCTATTTAAAGAAAGGATGAAGACAAGAATATATGGTTCTTGCAATGGTTTACTTCTCTTACTCATAAGAGGAAGACTTGCTCTATGGAACCCATTTACTAGGCAGTGTAAGAGCTACCTCTTTGCCCACTTCGTGGAGGACATTTTTGCTGTGGTTTAGGATTAGGATATGACTATGGTAGCAATGACTACAAAGCTGTGAAAATTTTTAAGAATCAAGTTTGGGTTTTCAGTTTGAAATCCAATACTTGGACAAGCCTTCCAGATTTCCCTTACACTGGTGATCTCATATGTTCCTTTCCTGATGAAGGATATTCGCCAATGGTGCCTTGCACTGGTTATTGCTGAAAAAAATAGACTACATGATCATGGCTTTTTATCTAGCTAATGAGACGTTTTGCTTGGTGCCTCAACCTGTGGACAACCCTCAAACCTTTGTGCACCTTTTATTCTAGAATCAATTTGCACGTTTTAGAAGGTCACCTCTGTATCAACATAAATTCTTTTGTGAAAAGGGACTCTCAAGAGGCCTGTAGGGAAAGGCACTTGTATGTGAGAGAAAATAATGGAAAGGGTTTACTTGGAGAAAATTATACATCCATCTGCATGGAGGACCTGCAACCTTTGGCATACTCAAAGAAGGAGAATAAGGTTTGGTTACTTGACAAATATTATTTTAGGGAAATTATTTGTTATGCTCTCGTGAGAAGAAGACAGACAAAAGGGCTGATATTAATATTACTGGTCTCCCACACAGGAACCATTCAATCGTTTGTTGGGAAAGTGTCGTGCAACATGGTGATGGAAGTGAATTCGATGGAGATATTTCTTGGGAGAAATCAAATTAAAAGATCAAAATAAGTTTGAGATTCACTGAGGATTTAATGTTTATTTTTGTCAGAAAACTCTTTTCCTTTTTGAATTTTAATAATACTTTCTTTATCTATCCTTTATCTGCTGCTATATTAAGAACATGCTGTATCAATTTGATCAAATAATAGCCTATTATTTGTATATTTGAACATACAAATAAGGAGGCAGATTTGAACATATCATGACGCAAGTAAGAATATAAAGAAAGGCAAAGAAAATGCAGAAAAAAAATTATCTTTCTATCAATAGAACATTCCCAACAGGACCTTTCACAAACTCCGGTCATCTCCACCATCCAAACCAAGAAACCAACTTTCTATTTTCAGTTTCCTGATAAGGAAATTTCTTTCCCAGATCAAAGTTTTGGTAGGCCAAGACAGCAACAAGGGAATGTGGAATGTCAAGACTAGATGTTTGCACCAGTTTCATTAAAAAAGAAAGAATTTAAGATGCTCCTTTTGTAAAATAAATAGCCAAAGTATAAAAAAAACTTATAGTGCAAATTAAAAATTAAAACCTTTTTCTCTGTAGTTTCTTTTATTTTCCAATTTTGTTACCATCATGGAGACATGGACATGAAAAAGATTTTGGGATAGGTTCAACATTTTTTGGTTTATATGGGGCAATTCAGTCCTTTCAGAAAGACAACTTATCCACCTAATTTATGTGTGGCTGTTTTTGCTTTGAAAATTCAAAATTGAAAGCAGAGAATAAAACAGGGTATCGATAAGGAAAACAGGGAATCGATCCTTTTCTATAAATCAAGTTCGGAAGAAAAAAAAAAATCAAACTTTAGTTGATTTTCGAGCTGAAATTCATATATTCTTTTAGCACCGTAACTCTAAAAATGGGTGAAGGAGAAGTGAAGCTACTGGGTACATGGGCTAGTCCTTTTAGTCACAGAATAAAACTTGCCCTGAAACTGAAAGGTATACAATATGAGTATATTGAACAAGATCTTACCAACAAGAGTACCTTGCTTCTTAAATCAAACCCAGTTCATAAAAAAATCCCTGTGCTCTTACACAATGGAAAACCCATTGCAGAGTCACTTGTCATTCTTGAGTATGTCGATGAAAAATGGCAGAATAATCCTTTCTTGCCTGAAGATCCTTATAACAAAGCCATGGCTCGTTTTTGGGCTACATTTGTAGACCAAAAGGTAAGCAATAACAAGCTCATATTCATTTTCTTGGTTATGGTAATTCTTAGTCTAATTAGTATTTTTCCAATTTGTTTAGATCTTGCAAGTGACTCTTAAGGCTTCTGCAGCTACAGGGGAGGAGAAAGAGCAGATACTTGAAGAAGTTGATCAATACCTCAAGTTGCTAGAGAATGAGCTAAATGAAAAAGATTTGTTTGGAGGTGAGAATATTGGATATTTAGATATTGTGGCATTTTCTATTTTGTATTTCTTTCAAATTCGTAAAGAAATTATGAGAATTGAGTTGATTAGTGAAGAGAAATTCCCAGTTTTGAATAGATGGATTGGAAAGATTTGTGAAGTAGATGAGGTCAATCAATCTCTGCCTCCAAAAGACAGACATTTGGTTTATGTTGTAGCCAAAACAGAGGCTGCAAAATCTGTAAACAATACATAGCTTTCTGCCTTGTAGATCTACTATTTTTCTTTCTCAATCATGATAATTGGCCTTTTGATGAAGCCAAAATTGTGTAAATTCCGTTATCAGTTTATGAGAAATTGTATAATTTCCTTGACATGATTTTGTATTCAATGAGTATTGGTCAGTTGAACTGGAAATTTCTATTGATGAATTCTAAATTTCAAATTTCATTGATAACAAAGAAGACAGTAGATCAAATACTTGTCTTATAATTCAAATCCTCAATCAAAGATTGGTCTACTCAATGACTAATTTTGTATCTGATATTAAAAAAAAAAAAAAGAAGCATATTTCGAATAAAAAAGACAGATATTACTAGGATTAATGTTTAAATTCAATTAGAAATTCTCTTTTTTTTTTTTTTTTTTCTTGAGTATTGAGTAGAGAAGATTTGAATCCAATCTATTATCAAGTCATATGTGCATTTACTACTAAGCTATGCCTTGGTGTGCAAAAATTTTCATATTTAATAAATTTATTATTAAGAAATGTTCACAAATATGAAGATAACATGCAAAACACATTTTTTTAAAACGAGTTTTATTCACAAAAAACATAATTCAAAATTCAATTAATTTTTAGTATTTTACTCAGCAATTTTTATAGATTAAATTTAGACAAATTTTTTTTAAAAAATATAATTTGTTATATTTCATATCAAAATACATTTATAAGCCTCTCAACTTTACAACTATTCACTATTGAGCCCTTAAGTGCATATGAAAATTAAGAAATTATTTAAATATAAACCTTAACAACGTTAAATATAGTATTGTAAAATATCGGACTCAATCCATTGGTCTGATTTTTTTTACAAAATATAATTTTACACTTCATAATATATACTTTTACAGACAAATTATACAATATTTATTAATGATTTAATTCTATTTGGTTTGATTTAAAGGGTAGGAGAAATTGATGGAGCAGCATCCGAAAAAGCAATTCAAGAAAAGAAAGAGAGTAACTGGACAAAGAACTTTTTATGATAGAACTGGCCAAGTGACATAGAATGCTAGTCTATTTTGATTTGCGAGCTTGTTATTCCTTTATATTCAGTAAATTTTGTTATTCCTTTATAAAGCTTGTTATTCCTTTATCCATATAGCCTGGTATGTGGATGGAGAAGATTTTATCCTCAAAGAATCCAATTCCAAGCGAGCAACAAAGAAAGATAAGCCCCCTATCAACATTTATGACCATAACCCAATGTATGGAAATTTGAAGCTCAAGGACTGCAGTGGAATAGATCACCATGTCTAACTTCTAGGCAAATGCTCCAGCAACAAGAACAAATCAGAAAGTTGCATCAAACTACAAGGGTGGAAATTTTCAACTCATACTCAGAACTTGGGTCCAACCAGCTATCCCATGAATTCAATGCACCTGGGTTTGACAACTGGCCACCATCTCAGTTCTCTATTTATCATAACAATTTGGAATCGCAAACATTTAGTCACTATGAATCAGCACAAGGTCAGCAAAGGTCATGGAAGCCATGAATTCGATGCCTCTCAGCATAGCAGTATAACAGAAAATGTTGTGAGTGGAGTACATCTGCTGCCCGTTACTCATGCTCGTGCAGCAGTTGGAGAACCCAATCTGCAGTCTATGAAGAAAGGCAACATAGAGCAGAAGCGGCCCCATCAAAGGCCAGTTTGGAGGCCATAGTGATGGACTTATCAGCCTTTTTAAAGTTTTTTTTGGGATTTCTTTACCAAACAATTCTTTCTGTTTTTTATTTTTTTTTTTTTTTTTCTGACGATAACCACATACATGCCTTTCAATGTTCTTTTTGACGTGTTGGCTGAAAGGCATTTATAGTTCAAATGCACAAATACAATTATACATTTATATGCTCTTTTTGAGTTTTTGCCTTCCAATATGGAATTTGTTCACTGGAATGCTATTTTATGCTATTTCATCTTATTTACAAGCTGTCAAAGTTGTATGATGTCTTCATGACATTTGTTACAAGAATGAAGTCTAGTTTTGGCTTTAAATATCTATGTGAAAAACAAGTACGACAGGATTTTCTCTCTTCAACTGGTGGCACTTGACAATTCTCGTATAATTATAAAGAATTGAGGGCACCATTCATCTCCATCAAAAGCAGCTGCTATCATGTTTATGTTGCTGTTATTGAATATTGCATGCGAGGCTACTCTTCCAAATTACTTGGCGAAACCTCAACTATAGAGAGTGAAAAGACTTCACTTCCAAATTTCCAGTGTGCGAGAGGCTATGAAGTTATTGACAAAGCAAAATCTGAAGTGGAAAAAAATTTGTCCTGGTATTGTATCTTTGTTGATTTTCTGACTGTAGCAGCAAGAGATGCATCTGCATTTGTAAGATATTGATATATATCTTTAAAATATCAGGTGGGATGTCCATCTTGGACAGTGTTGCTTGAAAGAAGACACTCAAGAATGCAGTATCGACATGGATTTTTTGTATTTGACTTGGAGGTATACTCCATAAAACGCTCGCAAGTTAGCTCGTGATATAACTTTACTAGTAATAAAAAAAAAAGTAAAAAATGAAAAATCATAAATTTATTAAAGGACAATATTTAATAATCATATAGCACATGTTGTTGGGTTCTTTTCTGCACATATTATTTGGAATTATGCTGCTGCAATAGGCAATACCTTATCAATTTGTTACAGGCTTCTATTTTTCAACATTTCTGATATTTTTAATTTTACAGGACATTTATCAAATTGTGTCAGTTAATGTTACTTCCACCAACAATGATTAACTAGACAACCTCCCTTATTATATATATTTATCTATTATCATTTGCAATTTTTTGATATGATGAAAACCAGAGAGTTCAATTTGAAATTATTATTTACCATTTTGGCAAAATGGTGATGGGAATATTCAAAGATTACACCATCAGATTAAGTGGTCATGTAAGTTTGATAGGAGGGAAGTTGTTTATGATTAAAGAGACAAAAATGGACTCAAATGGAGATGAGTTGTTAGGTTTGGAAGATCTTGTTAGCGTTTTGATTTTGATATGGAAATGGTGTTCTTAGTTAAAGCATTTAAGATTAAAATGCAGTGATCTTTCTTTTTTCCTCTGTTTTTGTATTCCTTCACTAATTATACAGTCTTGTTTCTTTTTTTTTTTTTTTTTTTTTTTCCTCTGTTTTTGTATTTCTTCACGTAATCTATACAGTCACTTGTTCTTTTTTTTTTTGTTTTTTTTTTTTTTTTTTTTTTTTTTTTTCGAGAAAAGAGCTTCAACAACTTAAGAAAGCGCAGGAATCGTTGTCCTGGAATTTCTTGCTGGGTGGGAAATATTAAACCTCTTACTGGAAGAGCTAGACAAGGAGGGTAAGGTTCTGCCATTGATGCTTCATTTCTATTTGTGAAAATTTGATTTCAGAATCAAGTTGCTTGGAATTTCTCTTATTTTTTTGTCTTTTTTTCTGTTTCCTGATCAAGTGCAAGATAAATGTCTTTTATGAGTGTTTTCATTTGTAATTGCTTGGATTGTACTTCTGTGCCATAGCATATTCCAAACAGTCCACGTTTGGTCGTCATAATTTCTCTATCAAGGTTCTACTAGTGCTATCCAGGTTCTGTACTAAAAGGAATTTCCCTTTTCATATCAAACAGACTTTGTGCATGTTCCTCTCTTCACCTTTGACAACTGAGATCACTCCATATCATGCTCAATTACTGTCAACATTATGAAATTACCAAATTTCATTCACCATTGACACATTACAGAACAGGCAACGATTGAGTTACATTACAATTGATTTTACACTCGTAATGGTAATTATCTTATCAACAGGTAGGGTTCAAATTCTTGTGCATTCATCATATTATTATTCAAGTATTCATGAAAGGAATTGTGATATCCTCAGCTCCAGAAAGTTATAGTTGAAGTTTATATATTCTAGTAAAAAATATCTGGCACAGAAATGAAGATACAATTGAAATTGCAGTTTGTGCAAAACAGTAACAGAATCTTAATGGTAGTATTAGAAATTAGAATTAGAATTTAGAATTATCTTATTGTTAATAAACCAGGAAAAACTTAACAAATTGGATAAAAACTAACCCAGGTCAATAGATAGACCTCCCCAATAAACCCAACCTAGTATCCAAGATGTTAAGTAAAAAAACCTGGTAGGGGTACACTTAAAGTGCAAAACCCAACCTAGTATCCAAGATGTTAAGTAAAAAAACCTGGTAGGGGTACACTTAAAGTGCATTTAACGGAAAATAGCGAACTACATGAACAAACTCAGTCTAATAAACTCCGCAGGAAGTACCTGCATAGAAGATATGCTGTGAATCCAACTCATCATCGGCTTGGTTGAAACCTTCTTGACTTGGCCATCCCAAAGCTTCGCAAAATGCCAAAAAGACAAATCAACATCTACATGGCTGAGACCTTCTTGACTGACACATACCAGATCTTCAAGCAATGCCAAAGAGCCAACTGGAAAACAAACAGACATACTTAAACAAGAAATTCTACTATGGCCTCTACAGAACAATCCCATAAACCATACAAGAATTAGCAGGTGTACTATGTTTGTGTTACCACAGATAGTAAATAGAAAAACTCCACAAAACAAGAACAAGTCTTGGCAACTATATCAGCAGCATGTGTGGCACAGATACTTGGGAAAAAATCACCAAGACAAGCAAAATTAAATCAGAAACTAACCCAATCAAGGCCCATCATAATGGTGATGCTGAACGAGGAACAAGAAAATTCCCCTGGAAATCAGATTACTCTTTGTAGGCACGATATTGCCAAGGGCCCTCCACATAACCCACCAAATACCTCAAGATTCTCTGTAGAAAAGCACATGGTAAGCCTCCGATGCAACAGCAACCCACAAAGTATCCCTCCACCGCCTGATGATTACCATAAGCCATGTGCCCTCCCCAAACCTCTAACTCCTTTCCCGTCCTTCAAGCCTGTCGATGGAGAAGTCGTGGAATCAGCACCATATGACAAATCTTCCGAATCTCCACAAGAATATTCTCGCCACGGGTATCCTTCACTGTCGAAGTCGACTTCTTTAAATCGCGTTGGCGCTGGGGACAAATAATTTGTCCCCCAAGATCGCGATAACAAATCGCCGATACTCCATCTAAGGACGCGAAATCAAAAGCGTCGTTGATAGTAGCACCGATGTTAAGCAACCCTTGGAATCTTCCAGACGGACGGCGAATCTGCAGAGCAACGAACGAAGGAGTTCTCATTTCTTGGGAAAATAGTGGGATGTTGCTGATGAGTAAACGGACGGTGCCGATAAGCTTATCACGGAGGCAGCCGACGGCAAAGATTTCGACAGAAACACTGGTTGTTTCGCCGGAGAGAAATTCAGGAGTGACTTTAAAGAGAAACTTGTCATTCCAAATCGGGTCCTCGCAACCATCAAGATCGATTCGGGTGCGGAGCTTAGCGGAGGAATCGATCGAAACAACTGCGTATGTATGCCTGCGGCGTCGATTGGCAGACGGCGGATTTAGACCTTGCGCAGAGATCAGATTGATCTCGAGAATCTTCGTATTCTCCATGTGACTTCTCTCTTTCTCCGTCTGTTTCTTGATCTTGAATGGTTTTATTTATATTTATTTCAAAAATAATAAATAACTACTAAATATTATTATAAAAAAATTTTAATTACTGCATATATTAAAATAGAGTCAAATGTTCACGTTTTTTTAAAAATATTATTACAAAAATAATTTCATACTTTTAATGGTGATTTCATTTTACGGTTGATTATTTTTATAACTAGTCCGTCCACACGTGCATTGCACCAATAATAATATAAAATTTATTTAAAATTAATAAATATTTCGTTATTAATAATTTATAATTAAATTATGCTACTAAAATGAAATAATTTAATAATTAAAATTATAAAAATCTTAAATTTGAAATTTCTTTATATTTAATAATGCAAAAAGCAAATAAACTTTAGAAATTTCTTTGCTCAATTTGCATTTAATATGCAACAGAAATTAAATAAGATGTAGCCAAAAAATTTAAATTAAAATGCAAAAATCTAATACTAATATACATTTGTTAACGCAAAAAGCAAATAGCATTCGAATTTTCTTTGACATTGTGTAACACAAAAAAAAAGCAAATAGCAATTCGAATTTCTCAACTCAAATAGCTTTTTAATATGCAATGAGAAAGTAAAATAATTTGTGTAAAATTTTTAAAAATGTAAAAAATAATAAATTAAAATAGTAAAAAAATGAAAATAATTCGATTCAAATAAATCACTTTAATATCAATGGCAAAGTTAGCTTTTATTGCGTCAGAAATTTATGACTTATATTCAAAAAAAATAGTCTATACAAATTTTATAAGACTTAAATAATAAAATTGAAGATGGAGTGAAGTGATTGTTTTAATTTAGATTCTTATACGGATATTAATTATAATACGTATATAAAAAAAAGAAAAAAGTGCAATGTTTTCAAAATTTTAAATAATATTAATTTAATATTTGATTTAAAAACTGAAAAATATCAATAATATTTTTAATTTTATTATTTATTTAAAAACTGAAAAATATCAATCTACACAAATTCCATAAGAGTAAAAAAATGGAGAAATATTAATGATATATTTATATGAATATAAATATTAATGAAAATCTGTAAATTATCAAAAAAAAAGGTAAAAAGTTTTTAAAAATTTTAATGATATTAATTCAAGTTCTTTATAAATTATGTTAAAAAATAATTCTCTTAAAATAAAAAATAATCAATATCAACTTAGCAATTATTTTAGTATTGTGCCATATCAGCAGTCTAATATCCTAAAATCGTGCCGCATAAGTTTTGAAGGTTGAGCTTTTATATATTTATATAGAATATAGATATAATAAAAATGACTTATTAAGTAAAAGAATAAATATAATAATTAGGTTTTTTTATTTTATATTTTATTGTAAAGATTATAATATTTATATAGACACAATACATGAATATTGTAAAAAAGAAATTAAAAATGAAATTGAAAAAATAAAACTTTATGATCAAAACAATATGCAAAATAAAAAATAATAATAACTCAAACAAAATAATAAAATTAAGAAGTAAAATTATAAGAAGAAAAGTATTTAGCGTAAAATAATAATAAACCCATAGCCAAAGAAAAATTAAATTTTTAATGGTGATTTTTCTATAAGAACATTTAATGGTAATTTATAATAAATCTGTATTTTAATAAGATTTCTAATTGAATTATATTATAACTCGTAATTAATATATTCTTTATATATCTTATGTTTTATTATTGAAAGTACAACAATAAATTTAAATAATAGTACCGATTTTTAAATTCTTTTAATTGAATTATTTTTATTATTTTTTAAAAATTCTCTATTATAAAAGTTAGCTAATATAGCTAGGTTAGTTACAAATATCAATTTATTATTTATTATTTACTCATTTTATTATTTATAAATAATTTAGTTTGAGCTGTTTTTAGATTTTTTTAAGTAACTTAAATTAATATAAAAAAAATTTATATAATTTTCTATAAATTGAGTTAAAATATTCTATTTTTCTGTTTTGATTCATTATTCTTGTTTTATTTGATAATTTCATTCGTTATTAATATTTTTATTTTCCAGTCAGTAGTAAGATTCATTAAGATATTATTTTTTTTTTGTCATAATAATAAATTACTAATGAAAAGTATCGAGTTTAAACCTTCAGTATGAAGTCCTTTTAAATATTCAGAAGAACTCCTTTTGTGAGCCTATCCGGCCTGAAACATCTAATTCCTATTTGCTTGATCTGCATGTTTTAGAAGGTTGCCTCTGAATGTTCCAAATCCCTTATCCGGAAGGGAAATATGAACAGTTCGAGTTGTATGTTAACGAGTTATATGTTAGAGAAAATGATGGAATTGGGTTTACTTGGAGAAAATTATACTCTCCTTTACGAAGGTGGCCTGGTGATGAACTGCAACCATTGGCATACTCAAAGAAAAGGGATAAGCTTTGGTTAAAGGATATCCATAACGAAATTATTTGTTATGATCTCCATGAGAATAGATACAAAATGGTTGAGATTATTGACCTTCCTGAGCAGCTCCTTCCTGCCCGTGCAGTCGTTTGTTGGGAAAGTCTTGTGCCACTTGGTGATGGAAGTGAATTCGTTGGTTCTGTTTCATAGAACAAAGACAACTTCAGGTATAAAGACATGTTTGGGAAGTTTTGATTTTTTTTTTTTTTTCTTAAACAAGGAGAATTTGAAGGAATAAGAGTTTAAAGTGAAATCGATGACCACAGAATTGAAGAACAGAAAAGTGAGGGGGCGCCAAATTCATCACCCTCTTCCTCTCTTCTATGTGCATGGAGGCTATCAAAGTTTAGTAAGTTGCATTTAATTTAACTTTCTAGAAACTTTTAGTAGCCAAATTCTTTCTATCTCTATACCTAAAATATTTGTTGTGGGGTCCCTCTGACATGTGGGATCCACACACATTTGAAAAAAAAAAACAAAAAAACAATAAACACGTTTTTTTTGGTTGGTCAAAGAAAAAAGGAGATTCAAATGTATGTGGTTCCACACGTTTGAAAGAAGAAAAATTAGGGAGGATGGATGCCTTAATTAACGCGTTAGTCTGTGGACGATTTATTTACGCATTCCTTTCTTCTACAAATAGGAGAAGGTTTCCTCAACCAAAATACACAAAAACAAAAAGAATAGAAATACATAAAGTGTATAAAATTTTAGGAAAGGGTTCATAAAATTGGAAAATAGAGAAAATAGTAAGGATTATAATTTTTAGGGTGTTTTTGGCAAACACTTAGAATACCATTATTTTTGTAATCTCTTTTTGTACCTACTATTTTTAGTGGAAGAATTATTTGGAGTTCTTGTCCCATGGACGTAGCCCATAATAGTTGAAGGGTGAACTATGTAAATCTTAGTGTCCTTATTTTTCATCTGGCATTTACAGTAATTATTTAAATTTTTACCGTGATTATTATTTTCTGATGGATTCGGTTGTCAACATCCAATACGTAATTATTGGAGGTATATGTGGTAATAGTAATTTTATTTTACTTCTACCACTGGTATTTTTCTCGGGCCCCACTCAGGATCAGTTGTAATCCTAACAACTGGTATCAGAGCCTGGTTGGTAAATTCTGTCAGTTTTTCTACAAAAGTTACTATTCACGTGAATAGTAAAATTTTTGTTAGATTTAGAATTCGACATAGCTAACGATGGGGCAATGATCAAATTGACGGATTCGAATTATTCAATGTGAAAATCCAGAATGGAGGACTATCTCAATTGCAAAGATCTATACGATCCAATTGAAGATGACAGTGCAAAGCCAGAAGAAATGAAAGAAAGGCAATGAGAGAAATTAAAAAAAGCAGACATTGGGTATAATACGCCAATGGATAGATGCTAGCCTGTACAACCACGTAAGAAATGAAATGTGACATCCTACTCCGAGTCGAGTCTTAGCATAGAGTTGAGTAGTCGAGTTGAGTCGAGTTGAACCAAACCCGGTTGGGGTAGAATGGGTTATCGCTACTCCGAGTCGAGTCTTAGCAATAGAGTTGGTAGTTTCGAGGTTGAGTCGAGTTGGAGACCAAACCCGGGTTGGGGTAGAATGGGTTATTAAGGTGGACTTATTTGAGTGAGAGAAAAAGATTCAAGCCACATGGGTGAAGGAGTGATTGCAATTTAAAGATCCAAGTTTGGGGTATAAGTTGTTACCTGTTACAAATTGAGGTATCCATTTAGAACTTTTAAAACACAACAAATCCTCCTTGATTTTTGAATGCCTATCCCGTAATGACAGCATTTTCCCACTTTTCCCATTTCATGTTTACTTCAAATCTTCTTTCTATGCTTTCTTCCTTTTCCTCTTCCACCTTACTTCAAATGTTAAGTGGTAGTTTAATGCAATTAACTTCAAGTTTTTAAATTCTGTAGTCCCAAGTAGTAAACCTTTTGAAGTTCATAATGAATCATTGGTGTTAATTATTTTAGAATTCATAAGAATTCTTATTATAGGTGAAGGGAGTTTCTAAGAGTGTATGAGAAAAGAAGTTAAAGAGGACTCAAAAGCTTTTGGAGTAAAGTGTTGATATCCTCTTGTTATCTTTTTCATTTTCTTTGCAATGAGAATTGTGTGGTAATGTTGCTAATTTGAAACAATAATTGCTTCATTTTGAGTGGAAGGACTTGGTAGTGAGAAACAGGGGAAATAACAAGGGAGTTATTGAATAAATGAAGTAAAGAGTGAGTTTATTTGAAACATTGGTTTTGCTGGAATTTCACTCAATAACTTCGATCTTGATGTTGATCCCCATTTTAATGATGGATATTAGGAAGTGTCATTAGAAGAGTTAATTTGTGTCCTCCTAAGTGTTAGCTTTACATGGGTTTTTTGAAAACATTCTCAAATTGGAGTTGTTAATATTGAGAGATATGACCAAAAGAGTACAGGACATGGTGCAGCTGAAAAGCGGCGCGGAATGCATGACGAGTTCGTGGCTTCTCCTTGCGCTCGGCGAATTGTGATACTACGCGCTGCGAACGACCTTTCAGCCTGAAACTTCTGAC